CATGTGCCTGGGGCTGAAACATGTTGACGTGAGTCACAGCAGCCAGGAGGCTGGCAGGCGGCCAGCCTGCCAACCCAGGGCTGCTCTGACCCGGCTCAACATGCTGCAGAGAGGCTGGCTTGCGCACCAGGATGCTCCAGTATGGGACTAGCCAGCAGGCAGCCCCTGTACTGAAACACCCTTGGGCCCAGCCAGCCCCATCAGCATCTATACAAGGGTTGTTGTGTAGTAAATAACACTGTCACAGGATAATACTTGTATTGACAAGTATTAACTTATGGTGGCATTTATTAGTTTACTGTGACCTAATTGGGCTGCGCTAATAGGGCTGTAGACGCTGAGACTTTACTGTGGAGCTAAGTAGGCAGCTCTGCAGTAAACATCTTGTGTAGAAGTGCCCACTGAGGAGTTGTGCGCTCGCCAGTAGATAATGAGAAGTGGGTGACCAGAGCATCAGCCCTGGGTGCCCACTTAGAAGGGCCATATGAACCACAGGCAGAGCTGCCAGTGAGGCCAGACCAGTCTCTGCTACTGCCCCATCCCCTGCTACCCAAGGGGAAGACCCTGGGTGTTACGCCTCTGCTCCTCACTGCAACTAGGAGAGAAGACATCTGGGGTTCCATGCTATCTTGTTCTATAGGCTGCATTTGACCCTGAAGCTACATAATACCCACTCATACCTTCAAATAAATATTGTTCTGTCTTATTACTTCATTTTATTGGTACAAACTGTCTTTTAGAACAAATGCAGAAACAAGCACACGTCATAGATGCATAGATTGTAACGGACCTTGCAGATCATCAGGTCCAGCCCCCCACTCCAGGCAAGAAGACAACTATGGTTAGGTGACCCCACCAAAGTGACTGTTTAGCTTCCTCTTGAAAACCTCCAGGGTAGGTGACTGCACTCTGGAGAGAGTTTATTCCACAGTCTGGACACCCTGACTGTGAAGGAGGTTTTCCTGGTATTAAGCCTGAAGCGGCCTTCCAGGAGTTTGTATCCATTGGTCCTGGTCTTCCCTGGGTTTGCCCTAGTGAACCAAGCTCCTGATGCACTCATCTGATATTGCAGTAAGCCACTATCAAGTCCCCTCTCAACCTTCTCTTCTTTAGGCTAAAGAGGCCCAGGTCCCTCAGCCTTTCCTCATATGGCTTGCCTTGCAAGTCCCTGACATATGGGTGGCTCCTTCCCAGACCCTCTCAAGTTTTTCCACATCCTTATTGAAGTGCAGCGCCCAGAACTGGATGCAGTACTCCAACTGCAGTGTCACCAGTGCTGAGTACAGCGGGAGTACCACTTCTTAGTTTTACACGAGATGCATCAGTTGATGCATGACAGCGTGTTATTTGCCCTGCTGGCCACCGCCTCGCACTGACAGCTCATATTCATACACTGGTCAATCATTACCCTAGGTCCCTTTTGGCTGTGGTGCAAGTCAAGCTGTCACCACCAAGCCTGTATATATGTTGAGGGTTGTTTGCCCCCAGATGGAGCACCTTACACTTGGAAATGTTAAACTTCATCTGGTTCCGGTCTGCCCAGTTCTCGAGCCTGTCCAGGTCTGCCTGCATCTGCAACCTAGCTTCTGACGTGACCATACTACTCCGTAACTTGGTGTCATCCACGAACTTAGCCAGCAAGCTTTTCACTCCCCCATCCAAATCATTGATAAAGATGTTGAAAAGCACCGGTCCAGGCACAGACCTCTGAGGGACACCGCTGGCCACTTCCTGCCAGGACAATACAGATCCATTCATGAGAACACTCTGAGTCCTACCATATAGCCAGTTTCCCACCCACTGAATCATTGAGCAGCTGAGCCCACAATCTTCCAGTTTCCCCACAAGCATATTGTGAGATACTAGATCAAAAGCCTTTTGGAAACTTAGGTATATATTGTCACCTGTGTCCAGGCGGCGAGAGAGCTGGTCATAGAAGAAGATGAGATTGGTAAGACAAGACCTACCCACAACAAAGCCATGCTGGCTGTCATTCAGAATCTTCCCTTCCGTGAGCATATTGCACACTGATTCTTTAATGAGCTTTTCCAGGATTTTCCCTGGGATGAAGGTTAGGCTGATTGGCCTATAGTTGCCCAGGTCCTCCCTCTTCCCCTTCTTGAAGAGGGGCACAATGCTGGCCCTCTTCCAGTCATCAAGGATTTCCAAATTCATGCACCACAAATTCTGAAAGAGCTTTGCCAGGGGTTCTGCGATGACCTCAGCCAGCTCCTTCAGCACTCTCGGATGGAGTCCATCTGGTGCTGCTGACTTACAAATCTCTAGCTTTTCTAGTTGGTATTGCACTCGCTCAGCATCCACAGTGGGACATGCTGGGACTGACAGCCTTCCCCTATGAGCCTTATCTCGCTTGACTTTCCCCATGGTCAGGTGAAATACTGAATCAAAGTGGGCATTCAGGAGTTCAGTTTTTTCCTGAATGTCGGTTACCGGCTGTCCCGAGGTGTTAGGCAGGGTCCCACACTCCCATTTGTTTTCCTTCTACTGCCTGAATACCTAAAGAAGGACTTCTTATTGTCCTTAACTCCCATAGCTAACTTAAACTCCATCACCGCCTTGGCTTTCCTGATCATTTCCCTATAAGTGCTGGCCACTGTTGTATAGTCCTCCTTGAGGCCTGTCCCTAGCTTCCACTGTGTGTGCACCTCTTTTTTCTTTTTTAAGAGGACCCCAATGTCCCTACTAAGCCAGGAGAGCTTGCCAGCCCTTCTGCCTTTCCTCTTTGCAGGAACAGTTTTCTTTTGTGCTTTGACGATCGTATCCCTGAGCAATGACCACTCTTCGTGTACCCCATTTGCTTTGCCTTCCTGGTCCCCCATCACCTCCCCTACTAATGCTCTGAGCCTGTCAAAGTTAGCATTTTTGAAGTCCAGGACTTCAGTCCTGCTGGTTGATTTATTGACTTTGCAACAGACAGTAAACCTGGTTATTTCATGGTTGCTGTCACCCAGGTTACCCTCAATGTTCAAGCCATACACCAGATCATCTCTCTTGGCCAAGACCAAGTCTAGAAGACTGTTACCTCTGGTTGGCCCTTGCACTTCCTGGGTCAGGAAGAGCTCCTTCATCACAGTCAAGAAACTACATGAATGATCTGACCTAGGCAAGCGTTCTTCCCAATCTATGTCCAGGTAATTGAAGTCACCCATTATAACCAAGTCCCTTGCACATGCGGCCTTTGTCAGTCCTCGAGAGAACTCCAGATCCAGCTCCTCCCCTCAGGTTGGCGGCCTGTAGTAAATGCCTACAGTTAGATTTCTCTCACCTCACCCCCCACCCTACCCTGGAGCTTGACCTGGAGGGTTTCAAGCTGCTTATCTTTGGAGCCAATGTCAGCCTCCAGAGAGGTGTACTGCTCTCTCATGTAGAGAGCATACCCCTCTACCTTTTCTCCCTACTCTGTCCCTTCTGTGCAGGGTGTAGCCCTCTACGACTACACTCCAATCGTGAGGAGTCCCACCAGGTCTCTGTGATCCCTACCAGGTCATACTGCCTACTAGAGAGCAGGAGGGCTAGCTCCTCCTGCTTGTTCCCCATGCTCCTGGCATTGGTGTACAGGCAGCTGAGGCCTCCAACCAACACCCTCGATTTCCTGAGAAGCTGTGCACGAACTGATTGGTTAGCATTTTCAGAAACAGTTGTGCTAGTGTCTTCTGCAAGGGAGCTTGCCAGCCCTTCTGCCTTTCCTCTTTGCATATATATATATTGTTACACCAGGGACAAGTAGCGAGGGCACAAGGTGTGCCACTGCTACCTGTCCCTGGGGAAACAAATGTTCGTGCTCATCTGGATGTGGCCTGAGAATGCATTTGGTCCGCTGTTTTGGGGGATTATATGAGGAATACACAATTGTAAAGACAGACTATTGCCTTGAGAGTGCCCATTAAAATGCATCATGTATTAAAATCAGTGCAAGGTTTGGAGAAGATACAACAATAAAGGTGCCAGAAAAATCCAGGTTACAGTAGGAGAACAAAATCATGATTAGCAGTATTGAATGGTTAGACTTAGCCAGAGGAACAAGGTCTAGGATGAGCTTGAACGGGTGCTATGAGTTCAGAAGAGTCAGAATGCCATTCTGATTAATTAAACAGTACAAATATTAAAGATAAATCATTCCAAATGGTATATTTATGCCACTTTTGGTGATATTGCTTTTGCTCATTGACTTGCTTCTTATGGATTGTCATACAGAAATAGAAACAGACAATATCTTATTGAATCGCTTTACTGTAGTCATGGCAACCTTCAAAAATCTTGAGTAGAAAGAAAAGGACATCGGGAAAAAAGAATACATGTGAGCACTCATGGTTCATTTATTATATTGTCATATTCTCAGGTTCTTGTATCCTGAGAAGCAAAGATCAAAGAAATGAAAGAAAGGGAAGGAATGTGCTTGGCATAAATATACAGAAAATTGATATAAATAATGAAAACATGGAAGGAAAAGGATAATGGAAGGTCAAAAATATTAAAAAGTTAGCTGGTCAAGGTGATAGGTCATTTCATCCCCTGATCACTAGTTCACATGTCAATAACCCCCAAAAGTATCATTATATATCCTATTAATTGGAACTCCTGATGATAGTGGTAAGAGCAGAATGATAGTTGTTATTATTTTTATAGCACCCATAATGTGCAAACTCAGAAGAAGGAATGAGAAGACCTTAACATCTAAACAAGTTTCAACCTAAAAGAGAAGCTATTGTTTTAGCCTCAGTGTTGGTTATAATCACAAGTGATTATAATCACAAGTGATTATAAAACAGTAATAGTTTTATTGACAGACTATCATCCATAAGCCATCCAGTTGTTGCCACACAAAACTTATACAACAACCTGCACAGAACAAAACCCTTTGTATCACATTACATCACATAAGTCAAATGGCTTATCTCAGTTTGAACTGTCAAAACTCAGCTACTGATCACAACTTATTCAACCTATGGCACAACTGACTGCTGATGTAAATCATTTGTAAATCTAGGTACACCCGCTGCACCTGAAAAACTGTATGAGGCTAGTGCAAGCAAAATCCCACCAAATACCCATTATATGAACACCATGGTATCACCAATCCAATGTGTTTGTGCTTATAAGTTTTTTGTAACAAATACCATGTTACAAATATGACTGCATAGTTCTTTTTTTTTAGCTCCACGGGTAGACTAAAATTCTCCAGGAAAATGCAAATTAAAAAAACTACCGACTATAAAGCAAAAGTAAGGCTACACAATTAGAATGGTTTGAAAAAACTAAAGAAAGAGACCTCTGTGTAATGTCTGTGCTTTTCTGCCTGCCGAAAGAATGGATGACATAGCTGTAATAAAGTATCAGTTCACATTCTTGGAATTGTTCTCTAGCACATGTAGAAGACAGCAAAAAAGGTGTTTGTGGGCAAAAACTGGCTCTCATACACAGAGATTGCAGGATCTTGGCATCAGAACAACATACTTCAAGAGTATAGTCTTAACTATGTATGCCATTAGTTTATCAAACGTTATTTGATGTGCATGTTAATGTAGAAGATGATCTCACTTGCTAAATAACAGAGGTGCTCATTATTAAATACATGGTATATGACTTTGTTTTGGCACTCCCTAACAGATAACTGCTGAATCCCTTTCAGGGAATTTGTAGACTTGTTGACTTATTATGGCTGACTTGCTATAAAAGAACACAAAAATCGAGGGGGAGGGAAGAAAGGGAAGGGCCATAAGTTGTTTAATAAAAGTAGGTTTATTCAAGAAAGATTATACCTTTGACTCTGTACTGAAGGTCATGGGATGAAGAGTATAGTAGGTTTGAAATGCATGGGCAAAAGTAATCAGAACTTTGGCCTGCAGACAACACAGCTACAACATGTATCCCTGGGCTACAGCAATACACTTCAATCCCACATACACCAGGTAAGAATACAAACATTGCATTTAAACCCATATGTTTAAATGTAAAAATAAAATTGTCATCTCACCATTTCATGACCAGACATCTAGAAAAAAGAGAGTTGGTTGAAAACCGCTCATATTATATTAGTGTAAATTGATAATAACTATTAATGGGATCTCCAGATTTACACTTCTGTAACAGGAAGGAGAATCCGAATACATTCCCTTAATGATTTTTAAATTGCCCCTCCATTTAAAGAACAGAATAAGTGAGGAATGCTTATTACTTATCCAGGAGGAAAATCTTGACAAAAAAATGTATTGGGATTGGCAGAGCTGACCCAAGCAGGGTGCGGGGCCTGGGGTAAATCAGCCTGTGCAAGGCCCTGCCCCTGTCCCCGCCCTGATCCTGCGCACCCTGGATCCGAAAAAGCTGCTGTAGCCATTGGCAGCAGCAGCGTCGGCAGCAGGAGGGTAGCGAGCAGCTGGATACGGCTGCTCCGCCCGGCTCTGCGGGGCCCCCCAAAGCATAGGGCCCAGGGTGGTTGCTCTGATTCGCCCCCCGCTAGGGACAGCCCTAGGGATTAGACATCTGGGACAGAGGAAACTGGGATGAGAAGTGGAATATTTTAATGGCTGCAAAGTCTCCATTTTAATTTGACAGTGAGGAATTTAGGAAAGTTCAGAACTATTAGCCAAACTGCATCAAAAATGGATAAAATATTTTCAGCCCATTATGAAAATAAGGGTTATTTACAAACAGAATTGAATTTTATATACTTCAGTGAAGACAGAACTGCAAATTATAAAGACAGAAAGAACCAGTTCAGTCATGTAGTTTGACCTCCTGTATAAAACAAGTCATAGGAAATCTCTGAAATAATTCTCATTTGAATAAAAAGAACCTATATGTAAAAAGATCTTGTTTTGATTTAAAATATTTATGATTTTTGTTCTAGATTACTCTGTTGCTTATGGCTACTATAAGGGCGGTACCATATTTTCTCAGCCTTGGAGGCACTCGCTCTTTCTAAAATCATAGATCTACCCATGAAGACCAGTCTTCAGCAGCACCTAGCCTTTCAGCTTCAGTTAAGCAAAAAAGAACAGGTAAGTCAGCCAATTAGGTTCGATCTCTGCTCTATGCAGCCATAACTCTGAAAGATTCTTTTTTTTTTCTTTCATTCTTTCAAAAACAAGATGTGTATTATATTCTGGGGCATGCAGTTTGTGAGAAAATACAGTAACACCCTTCAAGAAACATAGTTATACTTGGGGTGATTGAAAGCATACCTGAAATATAACAACATTTTTCATGTGCTAATTATATTAGAGGTAGACCAAACCAAAAAGATATCATTATTGCTCACTGCAGCATTCAAAATCTAAATGTATGTATTTTGTACACAACCCTTGGTTTCAAAGCAGATTGAAACATAACCCCTGAGTAAACATACCGTTTTCCCTCGATTTATGAGGTACACGCATTCCCAGAGAATGGCGCATAAGTTGAATTTGCATAAAGCAAATCCACTTTACAATGTAACAAATAGGAATAGGTTCCCATGGCAGAGAGGAAGGGAGAGAGGGAGTGAGGCTGGGCCTAAGGAAGGGGCAGGAGAGGTGCTGCTCCCGGGGCTCTACAAGGCAACAAAGCAGAGGCAGCTGAGCGGCACTCACCCCAGCTCCAGCTGCAGTGGCCCCGGGAGCAGCCAGCACCAACAGCTTGCAGCCGTTGGGCTGCACCATGCTTCACCTGTCCCCCTGCATCTTGTTCCCACTCACCTCTGCTCCTGAGCTGCATTGTGCCCTGGTGAAGGCAGCTTGTGTTGGTTGCTTCTGGGGCCACTCCAGCATGGGCTGGGGTGAGTGTGGACAAGTGGAGCCCCAGGCAGCGCGGGGCACAGCGCAGGGAGCAGCCCCGGGAGCAGCCAACTCCAGCTGCCTGCACCAGGGCATGGCACAACCCAGGAGCTAAGGTGAGTGAGGACAAGCTGGCGCCAGGTGCTCCCAGGGCCACTGCAGCCAGGACTGCGGTGAGTGGGGCCACGGCCCTTTCCCCCTTCTCCACACAGACTTACCTGCTTGGGCAGCAGGGTGTCTATGCTGATCGCATAAGAGCAAATTTACCTTGCATATAATGAATTATGGGTCTAAATATGCTCATCTCATAAGAGTGAATTCGCATATAAAGAACCCACATAAATCGAGGGAAACCTGTACTTGCAAATTGGGATGTTTGAAGTCTGCATCAGGAGATGTATGATTTGTGCCTGAATTTGCAAATTAATAATTTGCAAATTAGAAATTAAAAACCTTGAAGAAAAAAATTAAGTTCAGAAAGCTTTTCACCAGCCATTTGTTCATGTTAAATGTTTCTTGGAAGAAGAGTACAACTAAGATGGTCTGATTCTCCTTTCTCACTGGGTTCTCTTTCACAAACGCATTTTCAAAGAAAAACTAGAATTTTCACATTCTCATCTACTACTGGTGGGTTAGTTTTTTCAGATTCTGAAGCAGAATAGCATAATACAGGGCATATCTACACATGCATTTAAGCACCAATACATTTAATGAGCATTAAGCTAAGATGCATAAAGGAATTTTTTACATGAATCTACACATGCAGGGACTGGGCACTAACGTTAGTGCCAAGTCCCTAAAGTTAGTGCCAAGTCCCTGCAGCCCTGCCATGTGCCCTTAGTGGCTGGGCAGACCCAGCACTGAAGTTAGTGTTGGGTCACGTCTACACATGTATTAATGCGCTTTAACTAATCACGCCTAAATTTGATACCTGCATTTGCAGGTATCAAATTTAAGTGCGATTAGCCTAATTTCACCATTTTAATGCATATTAAGGGCGCACACGTGTAGACACATGCCCATAACGTGCATTAAATGAGGCTAACAGAGGCTAAATTAGGCTAACAGAGTCTCATCAACAGAAATTGTCAGCATTACGTTTCATGAATGTTAGATGCTGGCAAGCTTAGCCAGATCGGAACAGTCTTCCCTTCTATTTCCAAATCACCAATGGATCTCCCTCAAGGCTTATTTCTGTGAGATTAATAAATACTAGTGGATTGTTCTACTGGGTAAAGAGTAAAAAAAACTAGCAGATGAGCCAACTTTTTCTGTATAGGATACCAAATCATGTTGATGCACATGAGACAGAATTATTTTGCCTTTTTGCTAACAAAAAAAAAAAGCCCAAGCAGTAGCAGATGTTGTTAAGGATTAGGCTTGTGAAGCAATTAAGGAAGAGATGTTGCCACCTGAGGCAGACTCTAATGGCTGCAACAGAAGACTGCTGAGTTTGCCCTGCAGTGAGGTGATGGCAGCATGTTGCAAAAGTAATCATAACAGAACATCTTGACAGTGTCATGTGTCAGCCCTCAGGGAAACTGCCCTCATTTTTACCCTTAAATGAAAGATCCAGCATTGCAGTTATGGTACATGCCGATCCCTTTTAAACCTATTTCTTCTTCTCAGATAAAGTTTTAGAGTGTTATTCTTCACAAGCAAAAGAGCAGTCTCCACTGTGTCTTCAAATCCTTTCTTGATATCATATATAGTATCTAATTTGTAAAGACTTAGCTCAAGTTCACCCTTGCTAGTCACCTGGTCGCCTTCATAAAGCACAGAGATGTTCTGACAGAAACGCTCAAGACTGCAAGGTGCTGAACACAGTCCATCTACCTAGGATTTCATGGGTTTGTGCTCCCTTAATCACTCGCAGGCCTGAAACCTTTTTCTGCCTTTCCAGGTAATTTAAATGAGATCCTACTCCACCTTGCTTGGGGTCCTTAAAAACCATTAGTACTGATACACTTTTTATCACGTGCCTTCATCCTAGATGTAGGATGACATGGCATAAAGCAGGGCAACCCACATACAGGCAGTCCTTGACTTACAACATTTCGAGCTACAATGTTTCGCACTTACAACTTTATGTTTCAACTTTATGATGTCAGTTTTGATTTTTCAATGCTTGATCTGATGCAACACCACGCCAGCGAACAAGTTGGCTCATCTCCCTGGACAGCATTTGTCCAAACTTCCTTAGACACTTTCTTTAAGAAAGCAGACAAGACTCCAGAAAAAGCCAGGACTCCTGAGAAGACTCCAGCCAAGAACCCTTCAAAAAGTCCAGCAAAGTCACTTCAAAGAAGCCCTTCCAAATCAACATGATTGCTACTTACAATATAAATATATTAATGTATATTACTCATCTATAATTGATCGAGTACAAAATTCTGGGGTATTTTTGGTGAAAATAGGACACCAACCTTTGGTTCAGGAACCAATCCCCCATTTATAACATTGTTTCTTATGAGAAAATTGGTTCTGAGTTACAATGTTTCGACTTAAGATGCAGTTTTCAGAAACCAATTGTGTCATAAGTCCGAGGACAGTCTGTATATTTGTGTTCAGTTTTGCAAGCTGGGTGGAGTACAACTGCACGTAGATGCCAAAGTGCCACAGCTGCCTAATTAGGTGGCAAGGGAGTGCATGAGGTGCTCCAGGGTGAACATGGGAGCCATGAACACAGCCTCTGCATCGCTGGGACCTTAAATGCTAGAGGCTGCAAATGGGAGAGGAACAGGGGAAAACCCCCCTGCTCACTGCCCCCTTCCAGCATCTGCCCTCTGCCACGGCAGGGCCCTGCTAAGCCTTCAAATGAAAGGGGGACGTAGGGTTGCCAACTCTGTTTAAATCACTTTGGGAGGTTTCATTACATGACATAATGACATGGCATGAGAAGGCAAGTACACATTACTATTACATTTTAAAAACCCACTGGACTACTATATAAACTGGATTCAACATTTCATGTTTATTTTAAGGGATGGCCTATCATTTTTCTCCCGGGTGACTTTTAGCAGTATCCCGGAGCTTTATATTTAATTTCTGGAGACTCCAAGGCAATCCTGGAGGGCTGGTAACCCTAGCTGGACGGGAACCAGTGCCAGACTGGTGCTGGTGATCACTACACATCTTCAAGCACTAACTTAATGGGGGTTTGGCTCTCTGGACAGCTGGAGAGTCACTTTTATGGCACAGGGACTGCGTTGCATGTGTAGCCAGCCTGCATTTATGGCCCCAAGAGCGCAATCAGTAGCAGCCTTAGGGGAGGGCAAACTGGGCAACCACCCAGGGCCCCACACTTTATAAAAATTAATTCCACTGAATATTTCTATTATCCATATCGCATTGAGATATTTGTAATTAATAGAAGATAATATTTGTATTATCCATATTGTATTGAGATATTTGAAATCAATATTATTTGTATTATCCATATCGTATTGAGATATCTGTAATATCCACAGTGTCCTGAGATATGTCATTAATATAAGATGATATTTGTATTATCCATATGTATTGAGATATTTGTAATTAATATAAGACGATATTTGTATTATCCATATTGTATTGAAATATCTATAATTAATATTTGTATAAATATCCATACTGTAATGGAGAAATTTGTAATTAACGTATTTGTATTATCCATATCGTATTGAGATATTTGTATTTAATATATTTGTATGTTTCATATTGTATTTATTTGTAATTAATACAAGATAATATTTGTATTATCCATACCATATTGAGCTATTTGTAATCAGTATGTATATTATCCAGATCGTATTTATTTGTAATCAATAGATGTGTTACCCATATCATATTTATTTGTTATTAAGATAATATTTGTAGTATCCATATCGTATTGAGATATCTGTAATTAATATTTGTATTATCCATAGTGTATTCAGATATTTGTCATTAATATAAGATCACATTTGTGTTGTCCATACCGTATTCTCCACACTGTATTCACTGTCACTGCAGTTTCACGGGCAGGGCGGAGTGACATTGAAATCGAAAATCCTCATCAGAATTAGGGCGCTCAGGGCCCCAGGCGAGCTCCGCTCCGCGCCGCACCGCACCCGTCAGCTCCAGGGGGCCGGGCCGAGCTCAGCCCAGGGCTCCTGGGGGGGGAAGCTCCGCCCCCAGGCTCCGGCCCCGCGCAGTCAGCCCCGGGG